TGTATGTACACTCATATATTTATGTATATACTTATGTATGTACACTCATATATTTATATACTTATGTATGTACACTCATATATTTATGTATATACTTATGTATGTACACTCATATATTTATGTATATACTTATGTATGTACACTCATATATTTATATACTTATGTATGTACACTCATATATTTATATACTTATGTATGTACATTCATATATTTATGCGTTTATTGTTCAAACAGTTCGTGTATACATTTATTGAAGTAAACCTCCATTACTAATCAGCTTAGTGCTAGCCTACCGAGTTGAAATCGATCAACTGTTGGCTTAATACCAAACACACAAATTCTGCATACAAAGAAAATGAAATACAACTACGCACACACACATATGTATATTAAAATAACCTTTACATCAAATTAGTCTTTACTACCTCAGGTATAGAGAGTTAAACATTTTATTATGACCTATTACTATTATGTACTGTTATGTATTGTCCAAGTTTTTTTAATTTATCATAAATATTAATACATCATCGGAGCTACATATAAGTTATAACAGACATAAATAGTAATAATAAAAAAGCGAAACTTAGAGCTCAGGTTCAAGATACTGACCACCAGAAACCACCTCATCATATTTTCTGTCAAATTTGAATGCTTGTAAGAGGTTTTGAATATACATAGATACATTGTGTAGCTAAAATAAACAAACAAAATCTCCAGAACTAGTTTTATAGCCCTGTGATTACCAGATTAGATGAGTGTAAATAAATCCATATTTCCTACCCATCTTTTATCTATTTAGCGAGGTAGAGCTTAATGTTAATAGATCCTTCTCTCCCAGCATATTATTCATAATATGGATATCTTAAAGTTATTAGTTTCCTTATTGTGGCTACATTGTTAATTAAAAGGTATCTAAAATTCAAACATAATAGAATTAGGCCTGAACAGAAAATATAAGGTATTGATGGACGAGACTTATCGAAATATTAAACACTGAGATATTATGTTCATGAAGTAGGTGAAGAACACCTTAGCGTAGCCTACTATGTTGCTATGTCTAAATTACCATTGTTTGCAAGAATGGTTTCTTGATTAGTGTCTGTACAAGAATCCTCGTTATTATGCGTAGAATAAAATAAATAATATTTTAGGATACTCTTATTGTGCGAAACACAAAGCTAATATTACATTTTTAATAATTCCTAATCTTGGAAATAAAGATGAAATCGAGTGTCATAATGTCAAATGACGGGAAGAATTACACGTCTAATATCAATAGAAAACTAAACGCATATGTGGCAACTAAGTAGTGCGAAACGAGGAATTATTTAAACAAATGAGAGAAAATTGAAAGGTTTGGTTTTATAATAAACTTTGTATGGGATAATTCGACATTTTAACATTGATTTATGGCTCTTACGTTGATTGCCATGTCCTGTAAAACAATCGGGCATGTTATGTGATTTTTAGTGGCGACTTTCACTCTGTAAATGCTTCCTTTTTGGCAATATCTGTTTTAAACGTTTGGTTGTAAGAGAAGATTTTCGTGGAATGAAATCTATGGCTAGACTAGATATGTCATTGAGACTGTTCAAGTATTAAGTGTTTTAACATACGAGTATATTGAAGTTTATTAATGAAATTACTAAAACTTTATATTAACAAACAAGTCCGCTGCGTTTTCCCCATTATAAAAATATTGGATTATTATCACTATTTAAACAATTAGCGAAATACATTCTCCCAGTCGTTTATTGATTTCTTATTGATTAATCAATACATCAGACAACCTCAATAGATCCTTCTTCAAAACAGAAACTATACACGATAACGCGACCAATGAATAATTACATAGTATCTCTCAGATGGTTAAATACAACCACAGACTATGGTGTTCAGGGATGAGTGTAAGAGCCTTTGAATCCTTTTAGCTCTTTAATTTGCCTAACTTCAGATATCTGATTGCAGTTTAACTAGGAACTTTAGTAGTCTATATTTGTTCAACTTGAAGTAGATATGTCGAAAAGCATTTAATAATCTAGAAGCTGGAAATAAACACGTTTCCGAATGTAACGCGTTTTCCTCCTAGCGATTTTCTTTGATAAAACTGTTACAGTTCACAAAACATAAATATTGATTCACAAAAATAATTAACATTTATTGTTAATTTGAGTTCTCCATAGAGTAATATTTTCTATTAGGGATTATAAACTGTGGTAAACTTTCAAATTACGAGATACTGTTTATTATTTTCTTGTTTTTTACATCAAGCTTAATTATTGCACACAAAAACTCTCATGTTATAAGTATCATTATTATGTGCAAAATATTGTATATTTTCTAAATACATTAGGAATATCTGGCATTAGTTTGTTTAATACTTTGCAACTGTAGTTGTGTAGTTCTAATATATAAAAACTACTATTAAGAACATCACTATGTTTATCCAGTGTAATAATAATAATAATGGATGTGTTTTATTCAAATCTCTTTACATTGAAAACAACATTGATAGAAAAGGGCTAATCTTATTTTCAAAAAACATACATCTATATATACAGAAAATTATAAATATTTTAATGTTTGCAAAAGAGATGAACTTAATTCTTGAAACACAGAAAGCAATAATTATTTACATTTTTGTGTAATCTGTTTGTGTAGGCTAAATCTACAATATTCTATGTTTGCTAACTAAGCTATTGCATGTATATTGTTGGTTTAATTAAAAGGATTACCTTATCAAAAGAAATCTATAGTGAGCATACTACCTCTGCATAAATTACAAGCTATGTAAAAGTACTATATTATACCGCCATCTTTTAAAAATAACATAATAACAATTTTTCTTCTCCACTCAGCTATCCGGTAATTAGCATTGTTCTTCCGTATTTAATGATGTATTATAATTCAATTATAATATTTCACAAAAAGTTTTTGCTGCAAGAGTTGCTAGTAAATCATTTGCATAGATATTGCGAATAAGTGTATTTCTGATGGGATGAGTCAGAACAGAAAACCTAATAAAAGATCTCAGAGAGAAGAAGCGTATCATAAATGTGTTAACGTCCTACGCGCGCACACACATACAAAAAATGCACAAAATTTTCATTCGATCTTTTTTTTATTGAAACAGAAACTTTATATTAATGCGAAATTAAACTTGTTCTAACACTTTAAGCTATGGTTTCGTCTTCCTATAACACTATCTGACAGATAACTCGGTTTACAATCTTTTTCATAGTCTTCTGGTTTTGGTTTCCGTCTGTTGATATTCACATTCTTTGAGACGTTTTCTAACCTGAAGCTTGCTACATTTTATTTATCAGCATGATTATAACTGATTTATTAGTTACTTTTTAAATTCTCAAATACTGTATGTTCATAAAAGTCATTATTTAATCTTCCACAAAAAACCACATAACCTTAAAGATCAAAACATTGACTATTCTTATATAATGCATCCAAAAGCTGTCTATATGAGGGCTATCTGCGCTAGCCGTCCCTAATTTAGCAGTGATAGACTAGAGGGAAGGCAACTAGTCAACACCACCTACCGCCAACTCTTGGGCTACTCTTTTACCAACGAATAATGGGATTGAACGTCACATTAAAACACCTCCACGGCTGAAATGGCAAGAATGTTTAGAGACAGAAATTCAAAATCCCGACCCTCATATTGCTAGCCGAGCGCCTTAACCGCCAAGCCACCATCCAAAAGAAATGTCCATCAGCAGAGAAAAACTTGCACTGACAAGTGAGTTTCTGCCAATATTGGCGAAGAACTAGCAGCTATATAATTTCTGATGATCATACTTCTCGGTAGCTCAACAGTAACCTTGAGGAATTATAACACTAAATATATGGGTTTGGTAGCAGCGGAAGGCACAGCGCAGATAGCCCATTGTTTAGCTTTGCGCTTATGAACAAACAAATAGAAAAACAACTGAAGAGCGATCAACTATTTTTTTGATTAAATTTAAACAAAGGCTATTAAGCGTTAACATACAGCGTTGTATTCGAAAACTATTGAGCTTATTTATAAGTGAGTTGTAAGTCACCCGCAATTTACATGAGACAAATCATTTCAAAACGGGCTGGAAGTGGTTATCTTACCGGAGTGTGAATACGAGGGTCCATGTTTCGCGTCGCAAAATCGAGCTCCGTACTTCGAAATCATGGGTGCTTTATAAGAATTGTGGTCAAGGATAACAATGGTATAACTCCGTATTCAAAGGGCAAACACAGTGAAGATGGCCTACTGTGTAACTTTGCGCTGACCAAAAACGACGTAACCTTGTACAGCGTAATGCAAATATCCGAAACACACTTATTGTTTCAGAAAACGATATTACATGTGAAAAATATGATGAGATATTTAATAAGTAATATTAGATATAGAATTAGCTATCATTGTATATTAATTTCACAAACAAAGAACTAATTCCAGTCTAGAGAGCAACTCTAACATCAATAGATTGTGAGCAATAATAAATTAAGTAAAGTTCCACATCAAAATCATGCAACCATGTGTTACGTATAGTTTCAAATAGGATATGATATCTTAAATCACCACATGTAAGCTAGTTTTTATATTCTTACAATTGTAATACTTATTTCTATCTTAACTAATATCACCTAAGCTATATTTACTAAACATACATGCTAGAAATATTCGATATTGACTTCCAAATGCAGAGAACTAGGACTAGGGGGCAGTAACCAGAAAAGTTACCTTTTATAACTCCAGAAAAAAAAAGTATCTTGGCAATCTGTTTATTTTCCTTTAATAAAGAATAGAAACTAAAGTTACAATGCAACTGAATGATGTATCTCAGTTTAAATTATCAGTTTCTTGTGAGTAAATAGTATTTAATTGAAGATATTTTTTTAAGCATTTCATTTTACTAAGCACGAGGTTACTGACATTTTTATAATCAATTATTGTAAATACAGATAATGAGTAGTTTTCTGCTTGGATAAAGGTATATTCCTTCGTTTTAATAATTACATTCTTGTATATGTATTTTGAATTTATGGCAAAGTTACTAAGGCTATCTGCCACCGTTTCTAGTTTTGAACTACCGACCAGAGGAAAGACAGCTAGTCAGCAGCATTGTACCACCCACCTTACCCTCTAGTCTAGGGGTTGATTATCATTCTAATAATGCACCCACAGCTTAAATACGGGGACTATTTTGCGGTATCACACGGATTCAAACACGGCTCATTGACTCCGAAATCCAAAGATATACCACAGAACCAACTCTCACCCTTTTGTATTACAGTGCTGACTCTTGTGAATCTGAACTACATGAAAAACAGACTTGGATTTTTGTAGAAACCTGTCTGACCTAATGTCATTCAACTACTACAGTGAAATATTTTAGTTTCTGGCCTTTCAGAAGACGACCACTGAAACAAGGTAAAGTGAACGCTAATTTATCCATTACTTCTTAGAGAAAACAAAGCAAAACAAAATGAAGAAAACTTTTTTGTTTTCGTAGCTCCCCCTTTCATCCCCATAGCAACAGCTAATGCAATCAGCCCAGTTCCATTTATCAAATGTATTTGAAAATATAAAGCCAAAAAAATGTTACTTATTGATTACACATAAAACACAGAATGGAAAAAAAATCATGTTTAACAGAATGTTTTTACATTCTATCTTACAGTGTATTTTATATTTAAAATCAGCCTCATAATGTTTTTTTTTCTGGAAATAATGCGATAAAATCACAAGAAAAAATGCTTTATTTATTAAATAATACTTTTGATTCACATCATCGGTTATGGACTGATTTCGAAAATAAATCAAGGTGTATATATTTTTTAAAACATCAGTTGATATTAAATGTAAAAAGACATGATAACATACTTTGTTGTTTTGTGAGATGGTTTATTATCAAGTCTTGGTTTACTGGCTCCAAACTTCACTTTTTGCGTATATATATATATATATACTTGTCTGCTGAAAATTAGATAATAATAAGATTGTACGTTATTATAGAACGTATTCATTTTCTTCGCCTTTTTGGTTAACATGGATATTTATAAGTAATAAATAATAATATAGTTTGAAGTTTAGTCTTTGAACAAATTATCTTTGAATATAGTCTTTCAAGTTTTATATCTATAATGCTAGTGATGGGGAATATTATGGTTTAAGTCTTAGAAAGATAGCACATAATACAGTTCATATGTCGAAAAAGTGTGTTCTAGACCAGTGGTTCCCAGACTTTTGGTAATCACAGACTAGTAAAATTTGAAAAACCTTTTCGGGGACCTTCATTCCAATTAAAATATCTGTTAATTACATAGGTAAAATAGTACGATATTAAAAAAATATATATTTCGAAAAAAAAGAAAACGTAGACTTAGGCAATTTTTAATCATCAAATATTGAAAGAAACGTTAGTAAGTGTCAGTGTTTTCAACAACCAATACACGTTGCGGACCGGTACTCGTCTGCCGACCGGCGTTTGAGAAATACTTTAGTCAGTTTAGAGAAGTAACGGGCCCGGCATGGCCAGGTGGTTAGGACGCTCAACTCGCAATCCCCGTCACACCAAACATGCTCGCCCTTTCAGCCATGGGGGCGTTATAACGTGATGGTTAATCTCACTATTCCTTGGTAAAAGAGTAGCCCAATAGTTGGCGGTGGGTGGTGATGACTAGCTGCCTTTTCTCTAGTCGTACACTGCTAAATTAGGGACGGCTTCTTTCTAGTCTGGAACTTTCTTGGTGTCTTATCTGAGCGAGTTAATTACGAGTTGATGTAGGTACGATTCGCTTAACGGAAAGTTAGCTAGCTTTGTCCTTCGTTATTTACCAATCACACACGCTGAGCTCTCCACGATGAATTTATATAATGTTTTCATAAAAATACTAATGTCCCATGAGAATCCACTGAAGTTAAATGATTTGTAATGTTCAAACTTTGTAAAGATTCTTGGTCAAATATCTGAACAATCACAGTTATAGTTTCCAAAGTTTATAGCACACTGACTATAGCGGATTAATAACAGATACTATCTTTTTGGGGCGACGCGTTGTTTATATTTATAAGTGTGTGGAGGCGTTCTAGAAATTTCAGTTTTACGTAATAATACTAAGCGAAATTTAAGCGATTACGTACATCCATATATTGTTGATTCTTACTCTCGAGAATCTTCTACAATTTTGGAGAATAGGCGGGAGGTTCACAATACATATTTAACAGTATAAGCTATGTATATTTCTAAATATAAATTTAATATAAACAAACGTCGATATTAAAATAAGTATATAATAACAAATTCGTTACACTTTGTAAAATCAACTATGTCAAACCATTAAATTTAATAAACATATATGTTATATTCTTTAAATAAAATATTTTAGGCCAGACTTAATGAGTGGCTACGATTCGAAGTGAACAAACTCATTCAGCCACATTAGTTGGCGTCAACGTATTATTTGCTAATCGCTATATCTAGCTGCGTTTATAACCAATAAAACACCCCTAGATGCTGAAATGTATGCTAAGTACGAATAATTACACTTTAAGTAAAAAGCTTTAGCATAGGAGAAGGAAACAAATTATTATATATCTAAAAACTTGTAGAAAAACACTTTTCTTGACTCTATGTTGTTTTTTTAGCCGCGGCATAGTAGCTCATAGCACGGCTCTGAGTTTCTTTTTTTTTTTTTCAAGTACAAACCTTTAGCTCATAGATCCGTCACCGCTTGATCGATTTGGGATCTAATTTCAGTTTTCGATTCAGGAGGTCAAACTCTTTCGATTGATATATTTGACTATGCCCAAGGTCTTATAGATTAATTTACTCTAATCCCGCCTAAAATAATTTCAATTTGAGGGTGGGTTGGTAAAGATCCTGATGAGTAATAAAATTGAATCTGGTGTAAGCGACTAAAGTAGATATGATATTGAGGATTTGTTTGTTTGTAATTAAGCACAAAGCTACACAATGGGCTATATATGCTCTGCCCACCACGGGTATCGAAACCCAGATTCTAACGTTGTAGGTCCGCAGACATTCCGCTGTGCCACCGGGGGGGGGGCGATATTGAGGATGTCTACGTTTCAGCCAGTGAACCAATTTTCAATAACGTACTTTTACTTAGATTGTTATTGGACTTATCTATCTCGTTGTTTAATTGTATTTATTGTCTTTACTTGTTTTTTGTTCATTTTATATTATTACTTTCATCAGATTTGAAAACTACAACAGCAAACAAAAACTATCCTCAATATAATATAAATAATTCTTAGAAATGAAATTCGCGTATTTTCTGTTTAAATTAATGAACATTCTTATTCTGTTTTTAAACTTGCCACACGAACAAGCCCAGCATTTTGATGTGGATCCAAAAATACACGTCATTCCGGAGAGTTTGGGGTTGTTTTGATTAGACAAAAATAAGACGTTTGGCACTGTTTTCGTGGTTTAGGTCATTGGACCGGACCTGTCACCCTATCCGAGACCATGGGAGCCCACATGGAGAAGTTCACTTGTAAATGCAAAGTAAAACGATGTAGCAATGAAACATGCTTGAAATGTTCTTGATGTGGTTGTGAATGTGATGGTTTAAGTGTAGCGATTAAGCTAAACCGTGAGTCCAGGACCAGGACTGACCGAAATTAGCTCGGTCAGCTCGAAATTAAAAGCAACTATGTCACAACCCATTGCGTTCATAAGGTATTGTTCAAGTGAACAAACAATCCTCAGAAAAATTTGTTTTGAATTTCGCGCAAAGCTACAAAAGAGCTATCTGCGCTAGCCGTCCCTAATTTAGCAGTGTAAGACTAGAAGGAAGGCAGCTAGTCATCACCACCCACCGCCAACTCTTGGGCTACTCTTTTACCAACGAATAGTGGGATTGACCGTCACATTATAACGCCTCCACGGCTTTAAGGGCGAGCATGTTTGGTGGGACGGGGATTAGAACTCGCGACCCTCAGATTTCGAGTCGAGTGCCCTAACCACCTGGCCATGCCGTGCACCTCAGAAAGGACTTAGACATAATTATCCAACTATAAGTCTATCCCTGTCGGTATTTCACTGTTGAAATATATATCTAAAGTTCAACAGCTTGCATCAGGTGGTAAAACGCTACTGTATTAGCATATTTAATCATTTTTATAAAGTGCAATTGACCTTCGTTAGTGCTGATCTGGTATATATATATATATATATTATTTATGTTTATGGTCACAAATAAGTGGTAATAAACATATTTACACACTTCAGGAGATGAGTAATAATTACAAACCAATGTAATTGTGACTACAATTATAATAAAAGTTTAAAATGGACAGTTTCTTCTGTTTCTTTCTAGGTATATGTAACCTAACCAAAATTACGTATACTAGCTTGAGTAGCAGTGGTCATATCAGATAAACTAACTAAAACTGATAGCTTTGTGTTATCACACTTTGTAAAAATGTGCAACAGCTTTAAGTAAATCGACTTATCTCATAATAAAACATTTTATGTTATCATTTAAAGTATTTACTGTGTGTGTTTATGTCATACTAGGAAAAGTGATAGTTTCAGATAGCAACACTCAATTTTTGGTGAAAAGTTGCTGCAAACAGTTTTTTTATTTACATGATATTCGTACTTATTGTAATAAAAATAGGTATAAGAAATTCATAATTGAACACAACTAATTGAAATATCAATATGTAATAGTTTTTCTCTAGTCTTTAATCATACGGCTATATCAATCGGTCGTGGATATCATACGGCTATATCAGTCGGTCGTGGGTATCATACGGCTATATCAATCGGTCGTGGATATCATACGGCTATATCAATCGGTCGTGGATATCATACGGCTATATCAATCGGTCGTGGATATCATACGGCTATATCAATCGGTCGTGGATATCATACGGCTATATCAATCGGTCGTGAATATCATACGGATATATCAATCGGTCGTGGGTGCTTTCATATTTTAAGTGTATTAACCTCCATTATTTCCCTCCTTAAGTTACGGTACGTTATAAAAACAACTTAACGGCAGTTGTATCTTTTACAGTAGGTTAGTTGAAGTTTCTTTTGTAACATTACGTTCCTACTGGTGCTACACATTTTAAACTGCATAGAAATCGGGATTTTAAGACATTCATTTTATAGCTCTTACATCACAATCCTTTTTTTTCTCCAAATACGTTTTATTCAGCAGAGCAATATGGTTTTGAAAATCTTCCTTCTCATATTAAAAGCTATCGTCAGTTATACTTCACCCATTGGGTGTTGCAAAACTGGATGATCTGACACTACTTCTTATTCAGAATGCCATTAATTTCCACAATATTTCGCACCTTTACAGCATAAAAAAAAAATTCTCACTTTTTATGGTTACGTTTTACCACCAAAACCTTTTCTAATAGTCTCCAAAACACAAATCTTTGATTTGACAATACATAACACAATATCACAATTGTCTTTTTCAATTGTAGTGATCCTTTATAGGGTTCCAATGCTTGAAGATTTTCAAGCATGAAATATAAAATGTTTAGGTTGCAGCTTTTGGATTCCACTTTTATTTTTTAAATTATCTTTGAACGAGTTTCTTACTGGTTTTTATTGCACGTTTATCCTTTTTTCTCGCGTATTTGTTTTCTGTAGATGTTTTGAATAGATCTGATATTGAAATTCATTGAAATACACTAACTTTCTGTTTGGATGTTTTCATTGGACGTTCATTCCTGTTTTTGTACTTCAATAGAAGCAACATCTTTTGATATTCTTAGAATCACATTCTCCAAAGTTTCGAGAAATATTCTGCCGAGTTTTATTTACATTATATAATTTGTTCTCACTTTTCACTGATTGATTCTGAATTCCTAATTTTGTTCTTCTCGGCTTTAGATAAGTTAAAACTTATTCAAAAGATGTTAACACTTTATTAGTTATTCAGTACAATTAGCTCAATTGAAACAATATTTGATGATTTGAAATAGGTGTGAAAAATAATTTTATCATTATATGAGCAAGTGTCAGTGAAATACGACTGCTTCATTTACATTCAATGACGCCGTGTAGTTAATATGTAATTAAGTCATGATAATATACCTAAAACAAAGCGTAGATTTAACATAGTGAAAAAGGTTAATATTTTGCCAACGATTGTTCTATTTCACATAGGTTTTTATAGTAAAATTAGTCTAATTTCCTTGTTAGACTGAGACACATACCTGGTACTGCATATTTAATTGCCAACACGCAACCGGAATTATGATAGAAATTAACACATAGATTGCTGTTAATATTGAAAATAGATACGTAAAATACTGGCAGTTATTGTTTGTGCGGGAGTTAATGTGTATGAGATTATTTTTATGATGGTGGATCGTAAAAAACATAACGCATACTGGCGAAAGAACAGTTGGAGCGTTTCACACATTAATTCTTTTAAGTTGTGAAATTCTGCAATAAACTTCATTGTCATTACCTCACGGAGAACTTACTGTATATGGTGTGGTTATATGAGAATTGAAAGTCACTGTTAGGCCTGTGCAGTATGTTATCCATGAACCTGAGTTCATTGGAAGTGATGAAATGTGCAAACAGCACGTACAAAATCATAACGAATGTTCAACACACTTTTGTTTGTTGTGAAGCTCATTAGCAGCTACACCTGATGATTGTTCGCAATTTTGGAGGAATGATGACAGTTGCGTTATTATATTTTATAAAAGAAGGATAGATATAGGTATAGAGGCAAGAAAATAAGCAGTTTGGCTGTGATAGTGTTTTTACATGAAAGACTGTAAGGAGTGTGTATTGTATGAGCTAAGGTCTGCAGACTATGCATGTGGCCTATCTGTGAAGGACATCTGCAGAATTAAATACCCGTAAATATCACAATATCTTAAATAAAGACATAGCAGGGGCCATGAAATAATGTTTTGGTTAGCACGTTAGTGTTTTTTGAAAGCTGAATAATTCTCCTAACCACAAAGCACGTAAAACTTTGGCCTGGTTTCAGAGTAACAAAGTTATGTATTGGAATGGCCTGCTCAAAGCTTGGATCTTAAAATAAAGTTCAAACTTCAGCCATCTAGTTACATCAATTGCCTGTGTTTTTTCAGCAATAATAGAAACGCAAGTTGCACCAGAACCCTGTATTAGTTGAGAATAATATTAACAGCAGTTATTCAGATCTGTGCTGCTACAGCATATTTGGACAGTGTACTTTACAATTTCTTTATTTTAGTAGGAATTCTAATATTTTTGGCAGGACATTGCATTCTAATATATTTGACAGGACATTGCATTCTAATATTTTTCAGGATAGTAAACAGAAAAAGCGCATGGATAAAAATGCACCTCTACTTTCTCGAAATGATTATAACTTCTGTAAAGATTTAATTATAAATGAAACTGTTTCAAACGAAACAATTATTATCTGTTATTAAAAATATTTGAAATTATTTATACGATTCTTGATGGGGACATACGTGATTGTCTTATTATAATTCTATTTCTCTAGAATATATATATATTGTTCATGAATTAATCAACATATATGATAGTTGAATAATTATACAATTATGTATAGATGAATTTAGCACAGTATTCATACCATCAAACAGTGCTTTAAGTTTTCAATATACGTGAAAGTTTGGTTTAACTGCTGATGGCAAAATACGCGTGGACTGTATAAATGTCTTATTATATGCTCGTATTTTACTTATTAAATGTCAATGATAGTTATTATCAAATATAAATGGATCAACTGATATTAGCTTCGGTATTATAAACGCACCAAGAAAAACTGTATGACTTGATACGATTCTAAGGTGTTATATTTTTATTAATTAAGAGTGGGTCATTTTTTGTTATTACATCACTCTTCATTATTAATCTTTCTAGGACTAACGAGGATCTTTTGTAGTGTGGACTACGCTGCGTTGCGCCACCTAATGATTAATACAGCTCTAAATACAGCAAGTTAATACGAAGTCTCTCGTGAAAGAAGAATCAGATTTCTAGGTAAATTTTTAAATTTAGAGAAATAATTTAAAGTCCATGTCCTCTTTTAAGAGTGAAATTTGTAACGACCTTCTTATGCTGTCACGGTTTTTATTAAAGTATGGACACTAATTAATCACTAAAACTGCCAAGAAACAAAGCTTTTAAATTTATTGATTTCATTTTTTATAAATGAGGTTTTGAGCAGAGACGTCTCATCAGGTTGTACTCCCTTATGGAACTGGAATGTTTCTTGGCGTATTTTTACAATAAGACAAACCAAACTGCAAAAAGTTGTAGCGTAGTGTTTTATGGTTACAATAAAATATATAAACCATTAAATATCGACAACCACTTTGAATACGATGGTACTGCTGACTAACAGAACACAGCGATAAAAAACGACTTGAAAGGTTCAGATTTTTAGAAGGTTAATGTTTCTTCTTAGCCAGCAGCTTCTGTTGACTAAGGGGCTCTTTTGAAAGCTAAAGCCATTTCGAGCATTTTGTTTTGCTTACTAACTACGTGCAACATCCTTTTGAAGAAAAGTATTAGCTCAAAGTTATTTAACTTTTGTACTAGTCCATTATAAAACAATCAAATACTTACCGAAATTATTTGTAAAAGATGAGAACAAAAACATCTATGTTTTGATATATAGATTCACAAGTTTGTTTGTTTTTTAAGTTTCGCGCAAAGCTACACGAGGGCTATCTGCGCTAGCCGTCCCTAATT